TTCTGCCAAAAAAAAAAAAAAAAAAGAGTCCTACACAAGCCACTGAATTTTGAGGACATTGATTTACCCTTCTATAAAATAAAAAGCTTAGGAGAGATGGATATCTGAAGGAATGACCCTAATAGTTTGAACATTCCTACTCTTAGAATTACCTCTTAGTTTTAAAAAATGTTCTCTACAAAGGACACGATCACATTTCATCACAAACTGCTATCATGCTGATTTAAATTATTGTTATGTACATAGCTCAGAAATCAAAAGTATGTGCTGAAAAATCACTACTACATTTGTCCCTCAATTACCAAATTCCTAGCATAGGTCTAGGAAGCAACAAACACTAACAATTTGTTGTATATATTTTGAAAAAAAAAATATGTACAAACAAGTAGTATGTTTTATTTTTCCCCTTTTAAATATAAGTGGTACACACTGTGTATACTTATTTGTTTACTCACCTTAGAAATTATTCTCTATGAGGGATTTCCCCATCTCTTATGGCTGCATAATGTTGCATTTTTATGTCATTTCATCAGTCTGGTCTTTTGAATATTCAAGCTATTTTTTTTTTTAGATCTTTATTAAAAGTACTGTGTAACAAATAGCTTCATATATTCATCTTTTCACTCGGTGTCAGTGTATTTATTTATGTAGTGGTATACCTGTCCCTTGTGCCAGTAAAGTGGTGTAGAGTCAGTACCTTGTTTGGTTCTAAAATAAACATAAAGATACATGTGCTATCACTGAATGGCGGTTTCTTCCTTTGAGGCCTAGAGAAAGCAGATGAATTGTTTAGGAATGGACATTACATTAAATAAACATCAATTATTAAACATTAAATCATACAGTCGGTTGGGTATGGTGGCATATGCCTATAATCCTAGCACTTGGGAGGCTGAGGGTAGGGTTGCTAAAACTAAAGCTTGAACTAAAGAGCAAGACCCTGTCTCAAAAAATCCAAAACTACCCAGAAAGAATGGCTATCGTAAAGAAATCAACCAACAACAAATGTTGGAGAGGCTGTGGGGAAAAGGGAACCCTTCTCCACTGTTGGTGGGAGTGTAGACTGGTGCAACCGTTATGGAAATCAGTGTGGAGACTCCTTAAAAAACTAGGACTGGAAATCCCATTAGCCTGCTATCCCCATACTGGGAATTTTCCCGGAGGAACTGAAAGTGTCATATCATAGTGATACATGAGTACCTATGTTTATAGCAGCATAATTTGTGATAGCCAGATCTTGGAAACAACCAAGATGCCTGTCACATGTGCAATGGTTGAAAAAGATGTGGTATTTTTATACAATGGAGTATTACTCAGCTATAAAGAATGATAAACTCAAAGCCTTCATATTTAAGT